ATAAATCCCAGCAACTGCATCTCCCAAATGTCAAGGTCTATTTTCCCCAAACTCCACCAGTGTTCACATTGGCGCATATTGAGTATCCGTGCCAAGTTTGGTCCAGATCCATCATTGTTTGAGTCTGCAATGCTCTCTGGATGAAGGTGAACTACAACTCCAAAACTCAAGGTCAGTGCTCACCAAACCCTTCCAGTATTTTTCGTTGGTTGTGGGAGTTCTATGTGCCAAGTTTGGTCCAATTCCATCATTGGTGGAGTTCAAAATGCTCTTTAATTGTAGGTGAACTATAAATCCCAGCAACTACAACTCCCAAATGACATAATCAATTTTCCCTCCAACCCCACCAGTATTCAAATTTGGGTATATTGGGTAACGTAAGGTAAAAGTTTTCCCCTGACATTAAGTCCAGTCGTGTCCAACTCTGGGAGTTGGTGTTCAATTTCTAGGCCAAAGAGCCGGTGTTGTCCATAGACACCTCCAAGGTCATGTGGCTGACATGACGGCATGGAGCGCTGTTGTTGGGTATTTGTGCCAAATTTGGTCCAGTGAATGAAAATACATCCTGCATTTCAGATTTTTTACATTATGATTCATAACAGTAACACAATTACAATTAGGAAGTAGCAATAATAATGATTTTATGGTTGGGGGTCACCACAACGTGAGGCACTGTATTAAGGGGTCGTGGCATTAGGAAGGTTGAGAACCACTGTACTAAGCTGTACCAGGTCTCTGGAATGTATAGATAACAGCCTCCCCCCCCCCCCCTTCTCCTCTCCCCTTCAACACAGATCTCCTTCAGCATCCTATTGTCCTGTCAGCTTGGCCTCCTAATACAGAGAGAACCTGATTTTTCTACATTTCAGTGCTTCTAATGTACATACAATATAAATATCTATATCTCCAATATCTCCACATCACCGACTCCCTCTTGCCTTCCAAATCAGATGGATGCTGACAACCCAGCTGCAGCTCCAGCTCCATAAAATGCCCATTATGCCACTTCTAATGGAAGCAAAATTACCAAGTAACCTTTGCAAATGGCTCTCAGCCCCGCCGGGTGGTTATGGGCCATTGTGCGTTTCTCACAGACACTGACCTTTAATGCCATCTTTGTCTCCCTTCTCTTCCAGGTGCCTTTTTTGTTTTTAAATCGTGGGTTTTGTTAATTCTCCTTCCATTTTGGGGACACACCCAGACTACCAGTCTTGGGAAACTTGGCAAGCTCAAAGCCTGGGGTGTTTTCCTCATGACGTGCCTTTGGGCTCCAGGCCTGGGAGCACTGATGCGTCAGAAGTCACTGAGCATTTAAATCAAGATGCCATTCAGACCCATAAAGTAAAAGGTTAATGGAGGAAGCCGCTGAAGCACAAACATGTTGTCTTTGTATTCTTGTTCCTTTCTGTGTTCACAAACAAACCAGGCGCTTTGAGTTGCAGCAGGAGGGAGGAACTAGATTGAATTCTTACACCAGATTATGCATACCTTCCAACATGCGCAACCAAACAATTTCAGAGTGTGATCAATGTAGCAAAAGTTATGGATGAGGGGAAAAAACACAAGATAGAGCAGTTTGCTTTTAGTTGAAATTGGGAAGGAATGTCTCACATGACCTGGGGATATCCCATGGAGTCTTAGTGAAGCCGAGCATGCCCCCCCCCC